CTGCCGCATACATGAGGCTGCCCACCAACGAGTGAAATCGGCGCCTCTCCTCTTCGCCAACGCTCTCCTCCTCTGGTCCCTTCACACACTTGAACCCAGAGGGAAATGGAGTAGCCACATGGCCTTCACTCTGCCCAAAGTTGGCAGCCAAGGCCTCCAGGTACTTCCGTTGGTGCACCCGCATGCACCGCTTCTCCACGTCTCGTTCGATGTGGAGCCCAAGGTAGAAGTTCACGTCCCCAAGGGACTTGCACTTGAACTTGTCTTGAAGCTTCAGCATCACCTCCTTCACAAAGTTAGAGGAGGGTGAGAAGATCAGGATGTCATCCACGTACACCACCATGAAGCTCTTATGCTCCCACTCGCCAAGCATGAACAAGGAGCGATCGGCCGTTGAGGGAGTGAAGCCGATCTTCTCGAACACTTCGCGCAGCTTCAAGTACCATTGCCTAGGGGCTTGTTTGACCCCATAAAGGGCCTTCTTCAGCTTCCACACTCTGCCGCTACCATCATCAAACCCCTCTGGCTGCGCCATGAAAATCTCTTCCTCTAGGACGCCGTTGAGGAATGCCGTGGTGATGTCCATCTGCTTCACCACCCATCCTTTGATGGCAGCTCCCGCGAGTAGGGTCCGCAGCGTCATCGTCTTCACCACTGGAGCAAATTTCTCCTTGAAGTCCACCACCTCCTTTTTCTGGTACCCCTTGGCTACCAGCCTGGACTTGTAACGCTCGATCTTGCCGTCGGCGTCAGACTTGATCTTGAAGAGCCACTTGGACGTTATCGCCTTACGCCCCTCCGGTAGCTCCACCAATTCAAACGTGTCGTTCTTCTTAATGCTCTTAAGCTCACTCTCCATTGCATTCTTCCACACCTCAGCATCACTACTCTCCAAGGCCTCCTTGAGAGTTGCTGGTTCTCCCGGCATCTCCACCGGAGAGAAGAACGCGAAGGCTTATTCCCCGTACTCACTTTCATCGTCATCTCCGACCATCATTGCCGCTCCGGCCAAGGCTGTCTTGCCTGGCTCTCCCGGCGCATCATATGTCAGCCTCTTAGGGGGTTGAACTCTCCTCTTCCCCCTTCATTCCACCTCAGCTGCAGGGAATTGAAGGCCTTGGCGTTGCTGCGGTGTGACTCGGTTCCGTGGAGCGCTCGTAGTGCGAGTAGGAAGTGTCGGTACACGCTCGCTCACTTGCTGCACCTCCTCCTCTTCTTCCTCTGCATCATTGGCCTCCTCTCCCCCATTCACAAGGGAATATTGCTTTGTGGTGGTGCTACCGCTGCTCGGCTCCAAAGGCAGCTCCACATGCTCCAAGCCGGAACTCTTCACCTCCCCAAACCGCACGCCTATCTTCGCCTCATTCTCCGCCTTCCAATCCTTGTACATCAGGTTCTCCATGAACTTGCAGTCCCTGCTCACCAAGAACTTCTTGGTGAATGGGTCCCAAAGAAGCCATCCCTTGCTGTTTTGAGCCATGCCCAAGTGCACAGCCCATATTGCCTTGGCACCAAGCTTGTTGTGCCGAAGATGCTTAGGTACGAGCGCCATGCACATGCACCCGAAGACTCGAAGCATATCCACCTTTGGCTTCCTTCCAAGCCACTCCACATAGGGCACCCATTTATCTGCTCCCACATGAGTCAAGGCTCTGTTCTTGGCCACACACGCACTCCGCACCGCATCAGGCCAGAAATAGTCGGGTAGCCCGGCTTCGATGAGCAACCCGTGTGCCGTCTCCGTGATTGTCCGGTTCGCTCGCTCGGCAATGCCGTTCATTGCAGGGGAGTATGGCATAGTAAGGGAGTGCCTTATGCCATTCTTCTTCAGCGACAAGCCGAACTCCTTGCTCAGGAACTCTCTTCCTCAATCGGTGCGTATCGACTTCACTAGTCGGTCTTGTTGCCGCTCCACCATCGGGAACCAATCGGTCTTCAACGTTTCAGCCACGTCGCTCTTCTTGGCCAGCACATACACCCAGGTCATGCGGGTGTAGACGTCGACAATGGTGAGGAAGTACTCAGCTCCAGCAGCTCCAATATTCAGGGGGGCCACCACGTCCATCACCACCTCATCAAGTGGTGCCTTTGCCGTTGCCTCCGAACTAGAGAACGGGAAACGGGTGAACTTGGCTTGCATGCACGTCGGGCAGCCAAGTACCTCATCGGGCTCCCCTTTCGCACGTATGCCAACAACCATCTCTCCCTTTACAAGCTGCTGCAAAATAGGCAAGGCTACATGCCCCATTCGCCGATGCAAGGTGAGCCAATCACACTCCCCCGTAGCCGAAGTCGGATTGGAGAATGCCGCGCTCGCAATAGCGCCCCACATGCTCTCTCCGTACTCCTCCGCTGCTGCCTCGGGGTTCTCCTCACCCTTGTGCTGCTCCTTGGCCGCTACACAACTCTTCTTCCGAGCTTGCTACTCACTCCAATATTGTTCTTCTTGGATTCGATCTCGTTAGCGCGACCATTCGCGCCATCGCCGCTACCAACCGCTTCACCCTTGGTGCTGACGCTTGCTGCCACTTGCCTCTCCTTAGGCATAGGGACCACAGGGATCTGCCACATCTCGTTGTAGACATCCCTGTCCTCATGAAGGTCCCAAAGAATCCGGTCGCCAATCCTTGCGGTGTAGGTCTTGGCTCCCTTCGAGTTCGTGTTCAAGCCGGCCTTTGCCAACCGCCGCAAGGAAATGAGGTTCGCAGCAAGGTTGGGCACCCAATTCACGTTCTTGAGGCCCACCATCTTCCCATCAGCACCCTTGAACATGGCCTTGCCCATGCCTTTCACCTCTGCTTGCTGCCCCAAAGCCGATGTTACGTGCTTCAGCGATGACGGTTCAAGTTCGGTGAGCAAGTCCGCGCGAGGTGTCATGCTATAGGTAGCGCCGCTATCGATCACCCAATAGTCCAGGGGGTGTAGGGTGACTTTTCCCAGAGCTGCTGGCTCCTCAAAGTCTTCATCTTTCTCTGGTCTAGGTGATGCTTGCGTAAACACAAAGTAGAATTGACCCGGGTACCGATCACCGCTCGGGTCCTTGTCGTTATCTTCGTTCTTCATGTTCGCGGCTCCACCTCCGCGAGTGCCATGGCCTCCACGGCCTCCTCCTCTCCCTCCTCCTGCTCCTCTACCCTCTTGGCCTTGAGCAGGGGTCCAACCTTTCGGGAGTTTGAAGCAATCGCGCCACATGTGTCCGCTCTTGTGGCAATAATGACACTCGCCGTCGAATCGGCCGCGACCGCGTCCGTAGCTCTTGTCGTCGCTGCCGTATCCGCCATTCCCGCGGCCTCCACTGAAGTTGCTGCCACCAAACCTTCCTCCCCCTCGTCCTCTGCCTCTTCCTCGACCATATCCACGGCCGATGCTTGCTGCCCCAGCGCCATCCGCACTCGCCAACTCACGGCGGCGGAAGTCCTCTTGAAGGATCGCGCGCTTCACGTCTTCAAGCGAGAGACGGGGCAGATCACGGTTCAAGTTGATGATGAGCGAGGACCACGACTCGGGGAGTAGGGCTAACAATTTGGTCTTCTTCTGAAGCTCACTGTAGTTCAAATCAGCTCCTTCAAGCCGCGTCAACAAGTTGAAGAACTCACCCCTTCTTCCACGGGTTCGTCTTCTTCAATCCGTAGCGTCGCCATTTGCCGTTCCAACACCACAGCTACCGTCGTTGTTGCAGGAGCGTGTACACCCTTGAGAGCAGCCCATGCCTTTCTCTGGTTCACACTGGAATGGCTTGATGTGACGATATGGCTGCTCCCTAACACTTGCCCAAGTAGGAGATAGCCAAACTTGTCAAGCCCGAACACTCTTAATTCATCCCTTGAAGGTCCAAGAGTAGGTTGCACGGGCGCCACGGCTGGTTCACGGGCTTGGACTTGTGCTTGGGCTTCTCCATTGCCTCCAGCACCTCTGCCACCCCTTTCTTCAGGTCCAGCCATAGTCGAAGCTGCTCCAAGGTGCCCTAAAAACACTTGTTATAGTCACAGTAGGCTTCAATGTGCCTAAAACGAAAGACCGAGTGCACAAACGGATTTCTGCACAGCGGCTTCATATGTTTATAGCGATCTGGTCACAGCTCCAAATAACCTGATTCAACTTGGATCTGAAGCGTCTTGAAGTCTCTACAATACGCAATTTAGATCGCACGATTTCATTAAGAATTGACGACACAGCGTCGGTTTGAAACGAATGGCACTATGGCAGTAACATAGTCTTACAACACACAATCAAAAGAGTTAGGAAGAGTTACGAGTTGGGAATGACTCCCAGCTCCTACAAACCGTAAAACCGAGGTACAGTGATGTTGAACAATGCCACACTGTCCCCAACCAAGAAGGGTCTCAAAACTACCCTTCAGAAGGGCCTATACCAAAAGGAATGTTACACTACACAAAGTAATGTAACTATCTTCACTATCTTGAGGTGTACCCTTTTGGCGAGCTTCGAAATCACTTGAAGCTTGAACCAAGGCTCCGGTTCTTCATCACAAAACTCATCCTTGAGTTCTTGATGGGTCTGCTGCACACACCTGCGACACGCCAAACGTTCGACACAGGACAAAATAGAAACCGCGCACGAGACACACGACAAAATAGAAACCGCGCGCGAGACACAAATGACCGCGTTAAAAAGCGACTAGCGATAACTCGCTATTGACTCGACACACACACATTCGACAACATGACTCATCATTCACACACTATTATAAGCATGAAATATATATTATCTCATGCCCTCATACCACTCCATGCACACACGCATGCACGCACACGGACAACAAGCCGAATGCAAACCGTAGGGTTGCACCAACAGGCGTCAACGCCGGTGACAAAGTCGACACCAGTGCGGTAGGCACGTGGAGGCAGCGAGGTGTGATACATGCCGATGAAGTCTGCGGTCGCCGGCGGCTGCAGGCTCCTCGCAGGGCGACGTCGGAGGACGTCGAAGTGGATTGGTGCCGGATCGACGACTTGTACATCGGCCACCTCGAGGAGCAGATGACGCACCTGCGGATGGGCGAGCAGGAGACGGCGACCGACTACTGCAACCGGGCCCAGCGACTTCTTGCCACCATAATGATGGTCGGTGTACAGTACTCGACGGCGTCGTACGTGAAGCACGACCTGAAGGGGCTCACGAGCAACTACAACCTGCTGAAGCGGTTGTCGATGGCGCCGAGCACGCGGGCGACACTCAACGAGGACTCTCTTGCTTTGTACATCCTGCATGATGAGGCGATGCAGGAAGCTGAGCGGTCCTCGGAGCTCCTGCCGCAGGTGAACTACGCCGCCCCGGCGAAGCAAGGTGGCCGACTAGGACAGCGCGTGCAGTCTGGCGGTGGTGGTAGCAATGCTGGTCGGTCGACCAAGGACACCGACAAGCAGAAGTCGGCCAAGGATGGCGGTAGAGGAGGAGGAAGTCGTCGTCGGGAGTGCTAGATCTGCCACATCCCTGACCACCTCTCCTTTGAGTGCCCCGACCGCAGTGACTCCGACGACGACGACGCCAAGGGAGGTCGCGGGAGGTCGGCCAGCCGTCGTCCACGTCGAGGCAACAAGCTGCGCAAGGAGAAGCAGTCGACCAAGTCGACCTCGGCGAAGGACGCCGACTCTTCTGGAGGCGACAAGGGGCGAGACGACAAGGAGGCGTCGTGCTCGCTAGTAGGCGTCGTGGAGCCGACCGCCTCTCTGTCGCCGGAGGCCGGCGATGACTTCCAGGCGATGGCAGCAGCTGTGCAGGCGAACCCGGCGGTGGTCCTGCTCGACAGCGGTTGCTCCCACCACCTGATGGGGACGAATGACATCTTCGTCGACTTGGAGCCGAGCGGCGACGTGAAGCACGTGCGTGGCTTCAATGGGGCGCTGCAGGACGTCCACGGCCGTGGCACGGTTGCTTTGCAAGGGGAGGCCGGGAAGCGGGTGCTCATCCCCGACGTGCTGTACGTCCCGGGCGTGCACGCGAACCTGCAGTCGGCTGGCCAGCTGAAGGAGAACGGCGTGAAGCTGCAGGACGATGGTGACGAGATGCTGCTCGTCTCGGCGACGGGCGACGTGCTTGGTCGAGCAACGTACTCCGGCCGGGTCCTCTGCACCGACTTGCGTCACTGCTTGGCGACGAACGCAGCGGACGTAGTGGCTCTGCGGGCGATCGTCTCGGCGACGAAGTCGACGCCGAACAGGCTGCACGCGAGGCTTGCATACGTCGGCATGGACACCATTCGGAGCTCGGCAAAGCATGAGGTCGCCATCGGGCTGGACCTCAAGTCGACATCCGGTAGCGACTCCCCGTGTGTCTCGTGCGTCGGTGGGAAGCTGGCGCGGCACACCTTCCCTGACAAGGGCTCGGACGCTGTGGACGCCTTGGCCGTCGTGCACATCGACTTGTGCGGGCCATTTCGGGTGGCTGCCAAGGACGGCAGCTTGTACTTCTTGCTGCTGAAGGACCGCAAGACTCGCTACGTGTGGGTGAGGCCAGTGGCCAAGAAGTCGGACGTGCTGCAGGAGTTCATGCAGTGGCTGGTGGTGGCTGAGCGGCAGACGAAGAAGTCGGTGCTGATGCTGCGTTCTGACCGGGGAGGGGAGTTCCTCGGGAAGGACTTCACCGCCTTCGTGGACGGCAAGTGCATAGTCCACGTCTTGACCTGCCCGTACGCCCCGCAGGAGAACGGCATGGCTGAGCGGGAGATGCGGACAGTGGTGGAGTCGGTGCGGACAATGCTGCTGCACATGGGCGTGCAGCACCACTAGTGGCACCTCGCCCTTCGTCCGCAACTGCCTTGAGAGGTCGTCGCTGCCGCCGAGGACGACGCCGTACCAGCTGCTCACTGAAAAGAAGCCCGACTTCTCGCTGCATGGCGCAGTTCCTGGTCCCTGAGCAGCAGCATGGTGGCAAACTAAAGCCAATGGCCTGGTGGGGCCTTCTCCTCGGTGTGTCGGAGGAGAGCAAGGGCTGGGAACTCCTCGACATCACCGCCAACAAGGTGGTCACCACGTCGGATGTAGTTTTCTACAAGACGCTATCGCTGGAGGTGTGGAAGTCGTAGCATGGGCCGGCATTGGGGCGACCGCAGGCCAACCCGCCGACGGACACCTCGACGGCGACGCTTCCTCTGCTCACTGAGGTCGGTTTGCTTCCTGATGAGGACGCCGAGGCCGTCCATCCTCCTTCCCCTTCCCCTTCCCCTGTCCCTCCTTCCCCACCCCTTGTCACCGACCTGCGTGAGCTGCCGTCGGCGTCGGCCAGCGGCTATGAGCGGAGCAGTGGGGCGTCGCCTGTGGCGCCAGCCAAGAGCATCGCCGGTGGCCGACGTAATGTCCAGCAGGGAAGAAAGTCAATGCAGACAGGGGAGGGGCACGCCGAGGAGGTGCAGCCGACTTTGGTGGAGCCGGTGCAGAAAGCATCGGCAGGGCAGCAGCTGACAGGGGAGCAGGCAGCAGCGAAGCCGACCATAGAGAAGTCGGCGACCGGGCAGTCGGCAGGGGAGCCGACCGCAGGGGAGAAGTCGGCATGGAAGCCGACTGCGGTGCAGCAGGACTCTGAGGGCAGCGAAGTCGGCAACGATGAAGGAGACGCCGAGGAGTCCACCGACAGTGATGTGGTGGAGGTCTAGTCAGGACCACGGCGTACAGGCCGACTTCGGAGGCCTCCCGACTTCTTCATACCAGCTGCCTTCACCACGGTGTACGACGTGGTCGACGACGACATGTTGTACGACGCCGCCGACGATGATGAAGACTTGCAGGAGCTCGACCTTGACATGCACGCCGACCCCGAGCACCGTTGGGACATCTCCACGATGACGGTGAAGGAGGCGTTGGCGAGCTGGAAGGGCGAGGCGGTGAAGGCCGCCATGGAGGAGGAGATACGCAGCCTCATCAGCATGGGAACCTGGGAGCTGGTCGAGCGCCCACCCGGGGTGAACATCATGAAGAACCGGTGGGTGCTAATGACGAAGTACTGCATCAACAACACCGTCGAGCGCGAGAAGGCGAGGCTAGTCGTAAAAGGCTTCACGCAGGTGTATGGCGCCGACTACGACGAGACGTACGCGCCGGTGAGCAGCTACGTCATGCTGAGGATCTTCCTCAGCATCGTTGCCGTCCTCGACCTCAACCTGATGCAGCTCGACATGAAGAATGCCTTCCTGCAGAGCAAGCTCGACCATGTGCTGTACATGTACCAGCCGGACTACTTCAACGACGGGACCGGCCGGGTGTGCAAGCTGCTGAAGAGCCTTTACGGGCTGAAGCAGTCGCCGCTGCTGTGGTACAAGGCGCTCAACGACGTGCTGGTCGGCGCTGGTTGGAAGTGCCAGATCGACGAGGCCCTCTACTTCAAGGTCGGCACCGACAAAATGGCCTGCTGGGTGCTGGTCTACGTCGACGACCTGCTCGCCGCCAGCAGCAGCACCGCGATGCTGAAGGAGCTGAAGGAGCTGCTGGAAGCCGCCTTCAAGCTACTAGAAATCTCGCCGGTGCACAAGTACCTCGGGCTGGAGATTGTGCGCGACAGGCCGGCGAAGAAGTTGTGGCTGTGCCATCAGGGCTACGCCGACAAGCTGTGTAGGCGCTTCATCGACGAGGAGCAGGGCGGTTGAACCCCAAAGACGACGATATTTGTTGATGCCTACGCCGATCTATGTCGACGCCTACGCTGAGCTCACCTTCGACGACGAGGAGGCGCAGAAGCGCCAGGAGGAGGAGTACCGGCAGAAGGTTGGCTCGCTGCAGTTCGCAGCGACGACGACGAGGCCGGACATCGCCTTCACCTGCAGCAAGCTGGGGAGCGGCCTCACGGTGAGGAGCGACCAGCACTGGCGCGAGGTCGACCGCTGCCTCGCCTACCTCGCCAACACGCGTGACACCGCCTTGGAGTTCGGCGGTGGTCCGGAGACGCTGGAGCTGGTCGGCTACGTGGACGCCGACGACGTCAGCGACAAGCAGATCCGGACGAGCACGGGCGGCTACGTGTTTGTCTACGGAGGGGCCGCAGTCTCCTGGTCCACCGAGAAGCATCAAGTGCGCGATGCTGTCGTCGACCGAGTCGGAGTATGTGGCGGCAACGGAAGCCGGCAAGGAGGGACGCCGCCTTCGCTTCCTCCTCGCAGAGTTCCGGCAGCTGGACGTCAGGACGCTTACTGTCCTCCGGGTGGACAACAAGTCGGCCATCACGGTCGCCGAGGGCATGGGGTTGACGGGCAACCTCAAGCACATGGAGCGGCGACAGGCCTGGCTGCAGCACATGGTGAAGCGGGGGAAGTTTTCGCTGCAGTACATCCCGACCACCGACCATCATGACGAAGGCGCTACACTACCCGGCCTTCAACCGGTGCTCCGTCGCAGTCGGCCAAGTGCGTGTGGCCGACGTGGGCGACGGCGACCACGACGTGCAGCTGTAGGTGCCATGCCCTCCTGCATGGCTGGTGCGGTGACCTGCGTGCTGTGTGTTGGGTACACGCCGACGAGCTATTCTCAGAGCAGTGCTGCCATGTGGGGTGGAGGCCCAAGCGTGAACGCAGCAGGGGAGTGCCAACGGAAGTGGCGTGTTGGCCCCGTCCTTGCTTGGGCGGAGCCGACTTCGTGGTTGGGTGTACGGGAGGTGCAGCCGACTTGCATCAGTGGGCGACGCCGACTTGGGCGAGCTGGTCGACGGGTTTGGTCGACCTGCACGGGGCCACTGCAATGCCGCCGACTTGGGAAGCCGACAGCCGACCTCAACTGGTGGTCGGCGATGTGGCTCGCCGACTTGGAAGTCGGCGCCGACTTGGGAGGTCGCCGACGTGCGAGGTCGCCGACTTGGGAGGTCGCCGACTTAGGAGGTCGCCGAATTAGAGGGGCGTCGACTTGGTGACGCCGACCTGGGGAAGCCGACTGAGGTGTGGCCGGCTGCAGATGTGCTGGTCGACCTGGAGCTGGTCGACCAGGGGTAGTGGTCGACCTGGAGTTGGTCGACCAAGGGTGTTGTCGACCTGGTGAGGTCGACAGGAAGTGGTCGTAGACTTGGGTGGTCGACGGGCACGTGAAGGAGCTGCTGGTCGATGTGGTTGCCCGGTCGACCAGGTTACCTGGGTGACGATGTTCTCCGGAGGAGTGCGACGGTTGCCCAGCTGGTATTGGCGAGATCGACCTCGGTGTGGTATCCTGAGGTCGACGTGGCTGATCAGATGCAGTCGTCAACATGAGGACGATCTGGTGTGTGCGCTGTGCAGGTGACAAGGTACGACATGCCAATCACCTGCGAGCACCTGCGAAGTAGGTGCGCTGCTGTCATGCAGGAACAATGATGGACGCCGTCAACCTGCAGCGTTGGCACGCCGTCGACTTTGCACTGCTGGAGCGCGGTCGACCAAGTCGTGCTGGAACGCGGTCGACCGTGCTGCGTTGGCAGTTGACTGACTTGCATGCTAGCTCTGATGTAGTCAGTCTTGCCAACTTTGTTTGCTATCATTCTGAACCTCTCTTGTCAACTTTTCCTAGTAAAACTCTTGCCAATTCCTCTCGTGAACTAGCAAGTAGTGTGAGCACTTGGAAACGACTAAGGAACGAACGAACGCAGAGATCACTCCAGCCCCGTGCCTAGCCCGTAGTCTAGCTCCCGTTGAAGTAGTTATCTCCGCAGTAGACCCCCCATCGGTCCCGCACCAGTAGCGGGGATAGGGGCCACCTTGGGACCTACATCCCGCATGCGGGCCACTGCTGACGAACACCCATAGCCTTTCAGCGTCGCCAGACGTCTCTCTCACTCAAATTCGCAGTGCCTCATGTACAACCCGTATCCGACATTGTCACCGAGGAGCGCCGCCCACCTCCACCGAGGCCCGCACCAGCGACATCCAGCCCGTCCTACCTAGTTCACCCCGCAGGCGCACCCGACGCGATGCAGCAGCAGAGCCGCCGGTGTACGCTTTTGGGGGCGCCGCGTTTGCGGGTGGTGTCGACGGTGAAGTGCCCGCACCCACACACGGATGGTGCGCTAACGGCTCGGACGTGCCACCTTCCGCGGATGGTGCTCCGGGCTCCGGGTTACTTGCCTTGGTTCAAGGAGCGAGCCTCGTCTTTGCGGCCGTTTCGCATCCGACACCATGCTGCCGCAGTACCGCAGCCATATAATGCAGTTCAAATAGTTCGTTTCGTGCTTCATAAACACTGGGCTGTGCACGCTCAATAGTGTTCGCTGCAAGCACGACCGCCGGGCAGTCACGCGTCTCCGGACGAGATCGGCGCTTTGCTCGGCCGAGATAAAGACGAGCGCTGGGAGGCGACGATGTAGCATTGTCTAAGCTAATTCTCTCATATATAACTCACTGCTGGCAAAAGTGGTCATCTCACTACCACCGGTCAGCTCATTGTTGATGACTCGGTTAAGCTCCGCACTCCGATTTCCATGGATGCCAGTCCAGCAAACACCTGCTCATATGCATTAGACTATCATGGAGATGCTTCGGCTTGTGGAGGCTCCCGTTGACTTGGACCCTGAAGAGAACCTTATGCGGGTCGTATAGGGAGTCAATTGTTGGGCTGTCCTTCATATCATGCTGCTCGACCATCACCCGTCATTCGGTTTCAGCCATTCACCAAGATGATGTGCATTGAGGCGCAATAAAAGCAACAACGGGATCGTTTGAACCGTTTCGGAACTAGCCCTGTTCATTTTCTGCCCGCATGGTATAGTCTTTTGGAGAAAATAAGAGGCAACCATCTTGCAGTATAGCTGGTGCATCGCGTTACGAGTATGGACAATGGCAACATAGATCAGGGACTTGCCAACGGTGAGATTAATGGACCAGTCCAGTACAACCAAAAGACAAGGTCAATCTAGAATATACAACCATTCACTCACTACATATAAACCTCTATCCCCAACCCCCTTCACCACCCCCCCCTCCCCCCACCCCCCCACCCCCCCTTCTCCGCACTCTACTTATCCTTATAAAGGTTCTCCAACAATGACAACCAACATTTGGCGGATCCGAGGAAGGCCCAACAGGTGACAGTCCAATACTACGAGCACACGCACCAGTGTTGAGGCAACCATCATGCTACATCAACCAGTGGAATCGGAGTGTCACATGGCTTGTCACCGAAGCAGTGTTTATGCCACCGATTGAATTCTGGGAGGTTGCCGAGAATGATCCCAACAATACCCGTAGTAATGCTCCCCTCCTTGGTTCGTCATCACTTTCCTCCACGAATGGCAGCCCCACTAGCACCATGGGAGGGACAAGGTAGACGCCTGCAAAGGCTCAGAAGGATCATTCGGCGTGAGGGCATCAATTGGATTGCTTGGGGTGGGTCCAGAGGCGACAAGTGCGATGGTGATGGCTGAAAGCAATGCAAGTGCTATTTCCAACGCCACTTAACATACATGGGATCGTTTTGATACCCTTACCCGTTTTTTGGTCGGTCGTGTCCGGATGAGCATCAGCCAGCAATGCATGGAGGCGTTGGGCCAATTTTGCTGGACAACGTAATGGAGTGAAGCTCTGGGTGTAAGGTGTGAGCTGCACAGTGGTGGGGTTGCTGGTCCTTCAAGCCACTAATGGTGCCTTTACCACAGGTGGCCGGCGCATGGTCTGAAGCTTAGGCTATTTTCAATTTTGTGAAGCACCACACATGCCCTGACGCCTCGTGGAACTTCTCAAGTATGTTCATCCATCCTTTTGTTCAGAGTCTTCCACTTCTTATTCAGCCTGCCATTGGTTTGTTCAACAATCATCCATTCCTGACTCTTTTGCTTGTTCCAATTGGCCTTCGCATCAGTAAGCGAGTTGCCATTCCTGTATAGCTTGTAAGGAGTAAGGTGTAATCCCTGTAATTCTCAACTTTCAAATGCGAGCATGTGCCTCGCTGTTGTTCCAAACCTGAAAGTTATTCATATTTCCAAGCCAACCAGTGCTATAATCACAATTATGCCCATGTGCATCAACAAGCAATTGAAGAATGGTGTTGAAATTTTCCTCACTATTCTAGAAATATGCGCGGTGCTCATCGAATTCACACGTTTAAATAAAAGTGATGTCAATGGCACCCACAACTCCAAAAATACCACCATGTCGGTGGAAATTATTGGGCAACTGGGACAGTTATGGCCAGGTCACCCAGATTGGGCCAAGCAGACTTGGACAAAGCTTTCAAAGTCGCTACAGATGCTCATCGTCACTGTAAGACTGAGGCCAAAGTGCAATGCAATCAGGCGATAGTTCCATTGAACCAAACTAGAGAGCCTAACGTTGACCCGAAGCTCTGGTGTAAAGGGGAGGTTCTCCAAATGAGGGTTTGCATGAGAAGCACTCTCAATATATAGGTGAAGACATTCCTTTCAACGTGGAACGGGGCAAGATAGACATCGTCTGAAAATTTGGACGACGATGCTTGCCACCTAGCTCTTTCATCTGCACAGTCCTGGGGATTACTCTCTCCTTGAAGAGCAGCCACGACAAATCTGGCGAGTGCTTGAATAAAACTTGCTAACATATTGCCAAAGGAGCAATGACGCAGGAGAGAAGACCCTTGTGGAGTATGTTGACAATGCGAAATGTTAGACTAGTAGTTGCCATGGCAAAAAAGGTGCCTATCAACCCAGAGTAACTCTTATTTACAGTATTTAAACATACTGTAGTGTTGGTTGAATGAGCGACAGATAGGCTGAATTTTGGAATGCATAATTTTGAGAGAAAAGGGAGGAGGGATAGCCGGGTTGTGAATTGCGTGGTGACTTGGGTTGCCTCCAACAGTGCGCGAAATACTCGTGCAGTGTGTTGTGCAAATAATTGTAGCTCGGGTTCTGTTATTCTGCATTGTTACGTTGCTCAACACACAACCTGTTTTGGTGGGGTGGTGTACCACACCTTGGTTTAAGATCATGGCCATCTACCAAACCATGCACCAAGTTTGTGTATTTGTTGACGCGCACATTGTAAAAGAACCACACACAAATATGTGAACTGTGTATCCAGACGTTGCCCTTAGAAACACATCCACATCTGTTTGTTCCGATCATCGCAGCTAAGATTTTCATGTTCACCAACTTTTGTCGGACTTCTATGGTGCATACGTGGGTAAAGGAATCTGCACGGATGATGCACACAAATATGGTTGGTCAAATTTGTTGGAAGAAAACATACACTATGAGCTGAGCTTCTATCGGCTCATTGTCAAACTCGTCACTTGTGCCCACTGCTATCTCCCTCTTGCCTTATTCCCAAATGCACCCATCCCTCCTTCGGTGCACATTCTTCAATCCACATTTCCTCCTAGGACTCAACCGCCATCACTGCCATCGGCAATGATTGCACACA